TGTTTTTTTTTCTGTTTTTTATCTTTTTTTATTTTTGTAAAGAATACAAACAGTTTAGTGCACAATGGTGTAGTAGTTGGAGAAGAGTTCCTCTCCTGCTCGGACTTCTCTGAGGGAAACCAGGACCACGCAGCGCAGGGGTCTCTTGGTTTCCTGGCTGTAGTTGACATTTGGTAGAAACTGGCGGAGCTCGATGGGAAAGCTGTCAGGGATGTCAAACTCCTGGTAGCAGACATTAGCAGGCCTGTCRTCGGTGCAGTTGTTCACATACTGACCCACGGCCAGAGGGTTTCGTGGAGTGTCCGTCAGCCAAGTGGTGTCACTTGTCACAAAGGGACCTATTCTGTCCCTGCCGCTGCAAGACCTGAACACCATTTTGGAGATGCCTTTGTCATTTCCATCAACCAGGACGCCATCGATGCAGCGGAATACAAAGGGGTTGCAGATTGACTGAAGGAGAATGGGCTCGTAGGGCTGATAAATGGTGCCAGGATACATGGCGACTGTGGCTCCTCTGGGAACACAGCCCCTGGTGACGAACACTCCAGTTCCAGCTGATGGTAAAGAGCTGGGCTTCCGGTCGATACAGAATCCCAGAGACTGGAAAATAAGATCACGTCCACCATCCTGCTCCTCTTTACCCAGAAACGTTGGCACTGGGTTCACATGAGCTTCCCTGAGCTCCCCCTGATGAGCCCTGTTCCTGTGGAGGGCTCTGAAAAGCTTCAGGAGGCTCCGGGAGACGTGTTCATCCGGGACCAGCTGGTCTTTGGCGCGCTCCGTCACCTGGCGCAGAGTTTTCTCATTTTTAGACAAGTTAAACACAACCCAAGGCACGAAGCGGTGTCTGTAGGACTTCCATACCTTCTGAAATCTTTCCAGAGCAGATGTAAACATCAAGAAACCCCTGCGACTCTGCTGACAGGCGCCTTGCTTGCGTGACTTCCGAGAGGTTTCTTAAAAATAAAAGGGGAGCTTTTAAAACAGTTTTTAAAAAAGGGCCTATTTTTTATAAAACAAACATAGAATCATTTATTTATCTCTTTTAAATAAGTAAAACTTTTTTCTTTAAGTAAAATGAAACTGTGACAGTTATTTTCGACACATATACTTGGTTTGCGCTTTTATTTTGAAAACCGTTGCCTTGATCGGGAAACGCCTTTCAAAAATAACTTTATTAACTTTAACACGTTATGTACAATATTAGATACTAAAAAAACTTCAGACAGACTGTATCTGGACTGGATCTGTAAACCTAAAATATTCAAATAAGTCACATAAAGTTTGTGAATACATACAATGAAATAAAAACACAAATACCTGTAAACAGCACAAGAGCTATTAAATATTTAATGTACAAAAGCTACATCTGGGTGAGAGCAGAATTCGGCTACCTGTTATTTTATTATTGATCACTGGCAGAATTAATAAATGTTTAATGCACATACAGTATCACTGTGTTTTGATTAAAGTAGTCAAATCTCCCTTTTTAAATAATAAGAACACATCCCATTGCACCTGAAAATAAATAGAAAACAAACCTGCCAAGAAAAAAAAATCAATTTAAGCAATCATGGCATTGACACTCTTGATGAAGACTATAAGTTGCACAGACAGGCTTAAAGTAGAGTRAAGTAGAAGACATGGACTAAAAAGCGGTCTGTTTGGAATTTGGCAAAATAGGAGATCAAACATGTGGAAGACAGTGCTGTGGTCAGGTGAGACCAAAACCGAACAAGGTCAATGTCCTTTTTGATTACGATGAGAACACCATTCCCATAATGTAGCACGGTGGCGGCAGCATCATGCTTTAGTTTTACTTTTAATCACCTTGAATATACATTTAATTCCAAGTTAAGGCAACAAAATAAAACATTTATTTCTGATTTCTGGTACCTGAACACACACTTTTCATTTTATTAGACCCACCTTGCTAATACCAGATTTGGTTTTTGTAGCAGATTGACCAGGTGTTGGAAACTACTCCTCAGATATGGTCCATGTTGACATGTTAGCGTCACAGATTTGTCAGCTGCAGATCCATGACAGACTCCTGTTCCACCACATCTCAAAACTGCTCGACTGCACTGAGATTATGACAATGGAGCAGAGTTGTAAAGTAACAAGGTACAAATACTTCATTACTGAACATAAGTAGAAATATTGGTTATCTGTACTTTATACAAGCAATTATTTTTCAGCTGACTTTTTAACTTCCACTCTTCTCCCTATTTTCACAAAATTATCTGGACTTACTACTTAAATTTTGAAAAAAAAAAGGTAAGAAGTAGAAAGTTGTTTTTTTTTTATTTATTAGGTTTATAGTTTTCTTTCTGGCTTGTTATTGGTGAAAAAACTAAAACAAACAAAGTTTTAGGAGAGGTCACCTCCCCTGAAATGTCATTTTGAAAATTCTAACTGCTCAGTTACTTAAGTACAATAAATGTCACTTTAATTTACTTTTATTTAAGCAGATAATCTCACGGAAAAATGTAGTCTCATTTACAAGAGACTAAAACACTTAAATCAGTTTTCTTCCCCCATTTAGATGTCTGGTTTGAACTTCAAGTTTTCCCATCCTACATGTGAGTTACTGCCATGTGAATGACTAATTCTTTAACAAACAATTGAACAAGTGTACCTACAAAGTGGAAAGAGGGGCCACTGAATATCCTGGAATGGACACCAAAATAATTAAGTTTTTTGTAAAACAGTGATGTRAAAACTTTGTCAAAATGAGAATTAAGGAATCACAAACTGATGTAGCTCATTTTATTATTTTACAGATAATATTATTGAAAATGTGATGAACCAGAACAAATATAATCAGGAGTTTCACAAAAGTCCTATTTGTGTTCTGAATCTTTATAAACATTACCATAAATTGTGATTGTATTAGTCTTTTTGTATTGTCCCCCAAAAATAAACAAAAAATGCATATTTATTTTAAAGGGTTAAAATCAACAAAACATTTACAAGAAACAAGCTTTGCTAAATTAAAACCACATTATTCTACTATCTATTAATTATTCTACATTTTTGTTGGATTATTACTTTGTGTTTTTGTGAACAAAAATAGATAATAATAAATGTCCAAAACTGGAAATACAAAGACAAAATAATCTACATTTATATTTCTTAAAAATATTATGCATATAACCTGAGACCTTGCATTCTAATGTTGAGGACACTGGTTTTAGACTAGTTGTCCTTATGTAGCGGGGACCAAATTTTAAGTTTTACTATGAATTTAAGAACAATATTTAGAGTTCTACTAATGGACTCAAACTGTCTGGCAAAGGGGGGCRCATGGGGGCCACAGATAATTTAGTGGTCCCCACTGGCTCCTCTTTCATGACGCCCCTGCTAAAGTGTCTTTCATTTAAAAAATTGTAAGGTTTTGTTTTTAAAGCTGCTACAGACCCCAGACACATCAAACTAAACCCACACCCAAATCTTCTGAACAATAAGTCTTTGCGACGTTTGGCCCCCACATATAACTTATTAAATGAAAATAAACACAAAAATTCCAGACTTGAGTGTCAATAAAAACACCAAGACAGAAGAAACATGACACTTAGGTTACTGTAAATGTGATTTTTGCATTGTTAGGTTGCATGAGTGTCCTCTGTTGTTTTCTTTTATATGGTCCTAAAATTGTTTGTAATAATTTCCTTAATGAACAATAATATTTTAAGTGATTTTAAGAATGGAGAATATTTGAAACCTACTCTAAAGTCTTAACCAGTATACATGTTAACACCTTAATTACATTGTAGGTAAACCTACAGAAAATATTCAGTTGCAAGTAGGGGTCTCTGCGGACAAGTGGGCGTGTCCCAACGAAAGGCGATTCTAAAGCGACACACYTGATTTGACGGACTTTTTTTTAAAGGAAACAGACCTGATTGGACAAGAACAAAAGAGGCGTTACTGTACGGCACCCTTTTTTTTTCTAGAGAACCCTACTTGGGTCACATTTCTCCTGGTTAACCTTAGTGTTGGGGTCAGGATCAGGCTGTATAGAGGTCAAGCAGGGTCTAAAGATACCGTCGTGTCGGCCTCCTAGGCCCACAGTGTTTATGCTTTGGACACGCCCATTATTGTGTCACGCCCACTTTGATTCCGCAGATAACCTCTTCTCATTTTCTCGCGCCTCCTCGCGGTCACGCGGYCGGTTGCCGATAGCAACGAACAGTAAACAGTCACCGCAGCCTGCCGGGAGGACCAGGACCCCTCCTCCGGCACTCTTCAGCCGGAATTACTGTGGTTACAGCCAGAAAACCTGTCTTTATTGTTWATTTTACGGAGTTATTATCGAAAGAAACGAGAAAATGGCGATACCAACAGTTTTATCTGATATCGGCTGGGACAGGAGCTACGCCAATCCCGAGCTCAACCCCGAGAACAAGGATTTACTGGAGGAGGTAAGCTAGTTTAGTTAGTTAGTTAGTTAGTTAGTTAGTTAGTTAGTTAGTTAGTTAGTTAGTTAGTTAGTTAGTTAGTTAGTTAGTTAGTTAGTACGTTGTGAGCTCTCCAGTACCGCAGTGGTTCAGAGTGTGTCTTACATTAAACATTAGGTTCTTACATCTTATCTTCCATTATCATTTCGACATTCCCTTTACCTGCTCAACAATAAACTAAGCATTGAATATTTTTATTAAACAAATGAAGTAGTCAGATTTATTGCTGGAAGGAGGAGCGTAAATTAATGTAGATCCACAACTTTAAATTTGTTTTGCAGGTTTCCCTTATGGAAAGAATTTTTGCAATTTTTCTAGGTTTTAATTGGGGGAAAAAAAAACAAATTTAGTCAATTCTGATCAATAAAAGCAGGATTTAGGTCACTCTTTCGTTGAAAATGCTTGCTGTACTCAGATGAATTTTAATAAATGAATTAAAAAGCAGATTTAAGTGCATGCAAAATCAACTTCTGAGTGGAAGTCACTAAATAGATGTGGAAAAAGCTACAAGTCTGGTTATTTAAAGACAAATAATTTGTTTTGTTGCCAATATATTTTATTTTAAGATTTCACTTTGCGATAAATTTGCCCTAATAATAAATAGAAAGTCTCCTTCTACATCAAACACCTGTTTGATGTAGAAGGATTAGTATAATTAAAATTAGTAAAATTCTTGAACTGAAGTCAGGGGCCACACAAAATCAGGACATCCCTGAGTTAAACTAATACAGAATAGAGATATGACATGTACAATCCTTCCATCCATCCATCCATCCATCCATCCATCCATCCATCCATCCATCCATCCATCCATCCATCCATCCATCCATCC